GGTGATGGGCCATAATAATCATATACATTGTATATTGACAAAATAAAAATTTAACAATAAAGAAATAAAAAATAAAAAAATAAAATGTGGGTACTGTCATATAGTGGTACTTGCTTTCCTCTTTACTCCCTCTTTGCAAAGAGCCCCTCATTAGAGCAAAGTACTTCTCTGTCCCAAGGATCTATCCCACTGATATGTACTTGGTAGATGCTCAATAAACGTTTACAAAACCAAACTAATACTATTATTGAAAATGTCTAAGAAGAAAGCTATAGGCAGTCTGTCAAAAACAGAGGCTCATATAGTGTATCGCAAAGTACTTCTCTGTCCCAAGGATCTATCCCACTGATATGTACTTGGTAGATGCTCAATAAACGTTTACAAAACCAAACTAATACTATTAATGAAAATGTCTAAGAAGAAAGCTATAGGCAGTCTGTCAAAAACAGAGGCTCATATAGTGTATATGTCCTGGTTAGATATAGAGCAATCAGTGATATAAAGGTTAGTCCATTCTGGGCCACTGAAGAATGGTTCAGAGTATGAATATGGTTTGGGCTTGGGTTTGCTTAATAAAAGCTTTATACACAGGTACCTCTGGCTGTATTCATATAATAGGATCATTGGAGTGATGGACGTAACTTAACCAAAGTGAAGTTTAAATAAACTCAGGCCAAATAAACCATTTTCCAAGCCTGCTCACTGATTTGATTTTAACTGCAAGCTCAAGATGACGTCTTACTTATTTGTAATTTAAAAAAAAATAAAGGCAAACACAATTACAAGGGACAGTGTTTTTTGACACATATTCAGCAGATACTAAATCATTATGATCTATGCACAGTTCAAAAGAAATCTTTAAACTTAGAAAAGCTTCTCTTAGAAACTCTGTTTATGACCTGAATGATAACTTTCATGAAGACACTCTAAAAACAAAGAGAAATCCTTACCTCGTGCAGTTAAATTTCAATAAAAATTTCAATTATATGGAGACTTGGATTTTTCCTGTAACCCTCATATTAAATTTTGTGCTCAGTATTAAAGGAATTAAAGTCAATTTCTTTACCAATGAATTATGGGGAACACAAATTAAGATGAAAGAATGAACTGGGAATATACATGCAAATATTGTGCATTCATATTATTATACAGCATAATCTGTAAATCTGGTACTAATGAGACCAAGATTTAAATGGCTGAAGAATGTGTTTAGTGAATTATTGTCAATCAATGCCTCTGTTCCAGGATAAATGTAATCTTGAATGGCAACACACCTATTATTACAAATTCCTAACTAAGTACAGTACTTCATTATTTCAAAATGTCACTGTCAATTTATAGAGTAACAGATAAACATCTTTCTGCCATATAACCAATTGCCTTTCCTTCAAAGTAAATGAAACACTATTAAGAAAAATTATAAACTCAACATTTTTACAGCAATAAAAGAAATCTAATGAGCATTAAAACTCTAAACTAGTGATAATACTCCAAATTTTAATATTTGCTAATATGTATACATTAGGTTATATACCATTATAATCAAATACTGTTTTTTCAAGTTACCTTTCATGTAAATTCTTCCAAAAGTCATTTATTTATTCAATAATTTAACAAACATTTACTGAGTGCTGACTCTGTCCTAGGTACACTGTTAGGGGATGGAGTTACAGACATGAACATAACATGACCTTTGTTCTTAACACACTCACAACCTAATGGAAGACAGAGGTAAGTAAATAAAGTAAAATACAATGTTACAGGGTTGCCGTGGATTGATTGAATTGTGTCTCAAAGTTCATATACAAGAAGCTTAAATCCCACTGTGATTGTTAAGAGGGTGGGAGATCCTATTACAATAATTGAAAGGTGGCACCTTGAAAAGGTGATTAGTTTGCTGAACCATGCCATAGTGAATGGATTAAAAATGGTGATCAGGGGCATGGTTCTGGGGGCTTTAAAAGAAGAGCACATGAGAAGTTCTCTCTCTCTGCTCCACCATTCTCTGCAATGTGAGACCCCAGGTCACTGCTGCCACCACTGAGGCCTTCTCCAGCTGTGTTCCCTGAGCTTTGAACTCCCTAGCCTTCAAAACTGTAAGCAATAAATTTCATTTTCTTTATAAATCACCCAGTTCAGTTATTGTTATAAGCAGTAGAAATGGACTAATACAAGGGTTATATTAAAATTGTCTACATGTTTCACATTTGTAATAACTAAAGGGTATTTGTATTAGTCCATTTCTGTTGCTTATAAGAAAACACCTGGAACTGGGTGATTTATAAAGAAAATGAAATTTATTGCTTACAATTTTAGAGGCTGGGAAGTCCAAAGTCTGGGGAACACATCTAGTGAGGGTCTTCTTTGGTGGTAGCTTTACAGCAATGCAGGGGTCTCACAGGGCAGAAAATGGTGGAGCAGAGAGATAGTTCCTCATGCACTCTCCTTTTAAAGCCTTCAGAAGCAAGCCCCTGACCCCATTATTAATACATTCACTGTAGTAATCAGTGAACTACTTTTCATCATTGCTCAGAAATCAAACTCTTCCTTATTTGTTCTATGGAAATCTTTTTAAAAATTAAATGCATCTTTATCATCCTTATTTATCAGTCATGACATAAGTGTGCAACATCATTTGACAAATCACCTTATCAAAATCCTATTAAAGGTCTGCTTAACCTGTCACCTTACCTCATCCTTTATATCTTCCTGTTGTTGGGCCGTGAAGATCTCCATTGCAGCCATGAGCCTCATCATTAACTCATCCACTGTTGTGTTACCTAACAACACATGGAGATTGTCAAACTTTACTTTATATAAACTTTTAAAATATAACTTCAAATTACTAAAGTTATTAACAATGGAAAGTCATTCTAGAATTTATCAGAAAGAAACAACTACAATCTAAAAAATTACAGACTGGTACACTAATATCTATTTAAAATACTCTCATGTTTTCATTGAAATATTTCATATGTTCAATAAGAAAAAGTTAAGTAGTATATATACTGGCAGTTGAAATTTCAGAATGGTTAGATCTGAGAGAGTAGTCTCTTAATAAGAAGGGTTTTTAGCACTGTAAAGAAGAATGTCCAAGTCATGAGTTTCGAAAGTTCTTTCAAATTATGAAAACATATCTACCTAATAACACTGGCAACAACTACCAATTATTTATATGTCAGTGATTAGGCTAAGTACTTCACATATATTATCTTATTTAATTTGTATAATAATTCTAAGAAGGGGTCATTATGATTTTGACTTTAAAGTGAAGGAAAATGAGCCTTAGAGAGCTCAAGCAACCTGCCCAAACAAGGTCAAGCTGGTTTAGTGGTGGGGCCAGGATTTGAACACAGATGAGTTTGACTCAAAAGACTGTCCTATTTGCCACCTCAGTACACTGCCTTGGAATGATCTCCTATCACCTAAAAATCCTCTGGTGAAACAAACAGTAATTCAATTTCTGAAAAAATTTGTTTTGTTTTTTTGTTGTTGCCCAATTGATTATTTCCCTTTCAGCTGCTTTCTTTCTTTTTTTTTTTTTTTCCTTTTTGTCTTTTTTCATGACTGGCAATGGATCACAACCCTCAGTGTCGCGCCCGTACCGGACCGGGACCGGCAACGGGATCGCAACCCTCGGTGTTGTGTCCGCACCTCGCTCAGCCAGTGAGCAGCCGGTCTGTATGTGGGATCCGAACCCTCGGCGGGAGCACCGCCGCCGCGCTCCCAAGCGGCGCACTGTAGCAGTGCGCCACCGGGCCGGCCCTCAGCTGCTTTCAAATGACCATACTATAATCTTTATGAAGAGGGTATTTAAAATGTTTTTTCCTTAATGTTATTTTATTTCCTGTCCAAATCCATAACAAACATATAGCCATTTCCTGAATGCATTGAGTCCTTGTTATTTACGCTGGATGTACCTTAAACGAAATTCATGAGGATATGTAAAAATATGGCAATTCTTCTCTTCTCCCAATCTTAGAGTAGGGCTTAACTGAAATAACCTTTCAGTGGTCCTTTTCTCAGTTTTCCTTATGACCACTGGCAGCATGAGGTGAGAGAGCATCTATGTTCCTTAGCAAAAGAAATGACCCAATTTGTTCATATCAGCACTAATCTCTCAATAAATGAGCTATAAGACAAATGTTATCTGGCACTAAGAAAACGGAACCGGTTTTAGTCAGAGTTCCAACTCTAGTTCTATTACTTATAAGCTATATGATCTAGTACCCAAAAATTATCTAGCAGATGACAAGCGCTTAATAAATATTTGTTTAATAAATGAATGAATAAGTGAATGAGTGGATCATAGCTCTCTAAGGATCAATTTCCTTATTTTTAAAATGAAAATAACACTACCTCTGTAAGGCTCTTAGAAAGAGGAAAGATAATGTAAAGTGCCTGGTATATAATACACACACAATCACTGGTAGTGACTATTAATAGATAACAGCAGATGGCAAAAGAAGTTTAGGAGTACCTTCAACGTAGATTTTGTTACTGGGCAATTCTCTGGGTTTCCATATCTCTTTAGTAAACTATTGTGACTAAGACTCAGAGAATGGGAAATGAATACTTTATGAAGTGCACTGAAATCATCTCTGGGAAAACACTATTGTTGTATAGGTGACTACATATTGGCCATTAATTTTCAGGTTTCAGCCACCACTCATCTTCAGCCCTAATTCAAAGGGCCCACTGCCAAACTGGACTTGTAGGTACTTTACACTTAGGCCCATAATAATCCAAGACAGAGAAAGGGTATTAAGTTAATGCAGTTCAGGGCAAACTTATTCTTTACAACCTATTGCAGTGGTTCTCCAAGTTTTTGGTCTTAGGACCCCTTTATATTCCTAAAAACTACTGAGATCCCCAAAGAACTTTTGTTTACATGGGTTATATCGATCAAAATTTACTGGAATAGACATTAAAACTAAAATATTTAAAACATGTATTAATTCACTGAAAAGTAACAATAGTAAATTTCTTATATATTAATATAAACATTATGTTTTTATGAAATTTGACTTATTTTCCAAAAGAAAAAGTTCAGTCAGAAGAGTAGCATTGTTATAATGTTTTTGCAAATCTCTGTAATGTCTGGCTTAACAAAAAAAAAACTATATTGTCATATCTACTTCTACATTAAACCAATTACAATATGTTGTACTGGTTGAAATTTATAAAGAAAATCTGGCCTCACGCAGATATAAAATTGGAAAAGGGAGAAGTATTTTACAGACAATTGTGGATATTCTTCTCTGATACTACACCCAAACTGACAAGTAAAAGTTTCTTCAAGTTAGATGCTTGTGGAATTTGAAGCCACAGCAATAAACTTTTTGAAAACTGATACATTAAAATCCATTACATTAAAAGACCATTGCCCTTTGATGGATCTTTTACCCTTGCATGATTTTATAACATCATGCATTGGCCATTTGGAAACATTGGTTCACTAAGTTATGCATTTCTTCTGAATTTTGACAAAATTTATTATATGCTATAAAAAAAATCACATTTATTAATGTCACCACAGATGTCATCAGAAAAGTATTTAAGCTCTCAAACGTATGGGGGAGGATATAAATTTTTGCTTGAAAACTGGAATTTTATCACTGGCAACAAGTACTATCAGTTCTTTTACTTGAAAGTGACAGATTCACTTTGTTTATTTTGGAGAAAATATCTGCCAGATACCTAGGGTACATAAGCATAGTTTATGTCAGTCACAATTTCAAGTAAAAACGATTTCTCTGTAAAAACCAAAAACCCAATCAGTTCAGCTCAAGCAACCACACAAGTGCTTTTCTTCAAGACAATCAGTGAACTTTAGGATGCAGCAAAAGCCCTTCATCCATACCTCCTACTGTGTCACACAAACTATAAAAAGAAAGGGTTAAAATTTAATAAAGGTAATAATTTTTACTGCTTCATCAAGGACATTCATAAATGGCTTTTTTTCCTTTTCTTTTTTAACTAAGTTCATGGCAGTGAAGAATATGACTACTACTACAGTTTTATGTCATGGCCTTATAGGTGCCAAGTTGCCAACAGTTTTATAAACTGTTGCATTTGAGCCACTAGTGAAAATGTCAACACAGTAAAATAGGGCAAAAAATTATTATGAAAATAATTTTGACCTTGTAGATTCCCTGACAGGGTCCAGGAGACCTCTAGAGTCCATGAACCACACTTTGAAAACCATTAGCTATTGCAATATTGCCTCTGTTGGGAAAGCAGGAATTGAAAATTATGTTTGTTATGCATTTACCCTATGCAAATCAGTTCCCCCAGCAGGTCGTTTCAACACTGTTTATAAAACTTAATGCTGTACTTATAGAGAAAACATAAAATACCATAAATTTTGTTTTGTGTGGGTTTTAAAGGAACTGGAATTCATACAGTCCCCTTCCCCCCTCAGACTTAAATGGGGGCAGAAATTGAGTATCCCAGACACGAGATTTTTTCAAGTGTCCAAGCTAAAGCTTTCCTATGAACAAGGTAATATTTTACACTATTCGTTGGAGTGCATTAGTAACAGTAAAAAAACCCAATCAAACATAAAAACAAACACAATCACTTATTTTTTGGTAAACAATGGGCACTGTAGTTAAATTCACAGGCTTCAGATAGCTTCATGCCTTACGGTTACATCCTAGGCATGGAATCACAGAAATAAGGAGAAAATCGCCACTGTGAACAATTCAATTTGCAGTATACAGTCACTGAATTTTCTAGATAATTAAAGATAAGCATTTGTTTTAAGTAATCAACATTACAGCAATAAATTAATATAAGTAAGAAATATCATATTTGAGAAATGATTATGACCTAATTGCTAGTTTAGAGAAGAAATCAGCAATTCTAAACATTTAACCTGAATATCCTATGTCCCAAAGGCTATGAAATTTTATTAAGATGTTTCTGTTGGATTTTAATGCAGCATATTTCATTTTTCCTAGCAACTATACTTTTTTGAAGATGTTCTTCTTCTAGATGTTCTACATTTTAAAATGCAAAGGTATTCACCAATAGAAAGAAATTTTGTCAGCTTTGATAGTAAAATTTATAAAGTTATCACATTTACAAGAAGACTTTACTCCCCTGTAACATGTACTTTACCTTGTATCACATTTAACACTTCATTAGATGATCGCTTTCCCATAATGATCAGAAAAAGTGGAAACTGATCTGTTTTTTGAGTCCGAATGGTTTGTGCAACAACACTGCCAAAGTGTCTATTGCACATTGTCAGAAATCTAAAATGAAACAAAATCCAAAGTTAGTTTCATTTTGGAGTTGAGCAAATTTACTAATTCCCCCCCGAAACTCATTGTTTTATTCGTTATGTTAAAATTAAACCACCTACCTGATATCAATATGTAAAAATCTTGCCATACTGAGTTTTCAATTAAATCTTAAATGACACAGAGATGATTATCATATAGAAAAGCAAGAATTGCACCCTAAATGCTGTCTGGAGCTGACAGCATAGAATTCTTAGTCTTAAATACTGCAAGCTGTACTACCCTAAACTATGAAAAAAACAAAACAAATGAATTTCAAGAGAAGAGAATTTCTTAAATAGGACAAATAATAGTGTGATACAAAGATAAATTGACTAGCACCATCCTAAGAAACAGGATTTAGCAACATTATCACAAGTCTTTAGAATCTCAAGAATTACACTTTAGAATTGTATTTTCTCCAGTAGTAGTAGGTCTTCTAGTTTCATACTTAGTATGGGATAAAATAATAATTCTAAGCTTTTGACCAAAAAAAGCTCAGAGATATTAGCATACTGAAGTCTAGCATTAGTATTCTTAACACGATCTGGAATAAATGAAAAAACTGATAAAGCTTTTCTCTTCTATTAGAGGACTGTTTGAAATTAGCATTTCTTTCAAGAGAAAAGGGTAGCTTATGATATGTTTTCAGATCTGATGGTAAAAAGTAAATGTCATAATAATAATGAATTATGAAAGACCAAATGCAAATATAGAATGCTTTAATAAGATCCAATTTAATAAAGTCTGTAAAAATAATGGACTTTTAATAACATAGGTCACAAAAGGCAAAACAGTGGAAATTCTGGAGACTAGCCACTGGTACTGGCTTATTAATTCTTAATTATGTTCATGAAAGGCAACTTAAATTGTGTGTTTTCTTATGCCTTATGAAAATATTTTAGGTAACAACTCCTCTGAAATGTATGTTCTAGCTGATGGGCAAAGTCCTGTCATCAGTCTCATGCTTTTAAAAGGTAAAGTTATTTGAAAAGACAATGGCATTAAATTGTCATGTACTCAGATTCATTTGATATCCAAATTCAAAACAGAACTAAACCTCTTAATTTTTAAAGCCAACACATTTTCTGTGTATAGAAATTCACCTCAGAAACTAAGGCTGATACTTTCATGATACATGAAACCTCTGCTGTGACTACAGAAAGTAGATCTTGTTATGGGCCACTAGAACTGTTGGCAAGAGTGTCAAGATAAGTTAGCACCACTGCAATAAGTTCATTGGTAAGCAGGTTCATATACACATTTAGAGCAGCAATAACCAGACCTCATGGCAACTTGAAATGACAAAGCCTGAAGAAATCCATTGTTGGCCATGAAATATCAGTGTCCCACGAAAATTCAAATCTTCACATTCCACAACTATTATTGGATAAAAGGTGCTTAAGCAGTCTTAGCCTCCATACCAAACTTCACATCCATATAGCTTTAACTCGTCAATGGGGACGTGTAGATCAGGAGACGAGACAGGATCTCATTTTTCTTTCTGCTTCTTACTAAACTATTTGAAGTTAGTCTTGACCCTGATCTGATCACTGGCAACCTCTAAAATTAAAGATGTCAGAAAAACAGTTCAAATGCCATTTCCTACAAAAGGGAGAAAATAAGTCCTGTTGCTTTCATAACAACGGTTTAAGCGGATATCACACAGTAGATGCCCATCATAGCACTAGTCTCACAAGTGATATTAAATGCTAACTAAATGGGATATCCTCCCAAAAAAAGGAAGGAAGGAAGGAAGGAAGGAAGGAAGGAAGGAAGGAAGGACGGTTTAAGCGGATATCACACAGTAGATGCCCATCATAGCACTAGTCTCACAAGTGATATTAAATGCTAACTAAATGGGATATCCTCCCAAAAAAGGAAGGAAGGAAGGAAGGAAGGAAGGAAGGAAGGAAGGAAGGAAGGAAGGAAGCAAGAAAAGAGAAAAGCAGGCAAGCTTAGTGATTTTAAGAATTCTACTTCATAACAATTTTGCCTGGAAATTATGTACTTCCTAAATTCTTTTTGTGAAAATGAGCAAGAAGGAAAAATAATTATAAAATGTAGGTATCTTATTAGGTTTAAAATAATATATAACACAAATTCCAAAACTACACAAAGCATATTCAAGAGAGGTATAGCTTTCACAGGCACATAGCCATTCAATTAACTATAAAAAAAACCCAAAGTAATCAACTTTCTACCAGGTACTGGCAAATCACGAATTTTTTGAAAGTAGTTGAGAAATACTCAGGGATCACATAGTCAGCTGACACTTTCCAGTAGCCTTAACCAATAATTTGTTCTAATCAAAGAGAGACTGTTAAAACTTTAATTAACCTGATTAATCTCCCTAAAATCTGAATCACATTTGAGATTTTCAAATTGCAATCATCGAGAGCCTGTAGGGCAAATGAACAGTACCAAATTACAAAATTCCTACTTGCCGTTACAATTAACAACTTGAGGAAGAACTTCATAACATAGATATCAAATCTTTCTCATGCCTAGCAGGCTCTGCTTCTTCCTCCCAAGATCATTCACAGCATACTATCAGCAGCAAAAAATTCAGTTCAAAACATTAGAAGAAAAACAGACATGGAAAAAATAAGTCATTTTAAGAAAAAGTGTAGTGCTCCTAATTGTGGCATTTTCTTCCTTTCGAACAGATAAGTGCCAGTGCATCTAACGGCAGGGCCAAAGTCATCTATTTGTACAAGGCTATCATCAGAGTCAGATGTCATGTAGGGACAAATGGTTTCCACAGCAATTGGATTCCTGCAATCTCAAACCCAAAGGGAGAAGAATGACAACTGTTCTGTAACAAGGGGAAATGGCTGCTTTTTAACTATAAAAGATTTGAATGAACTAAACGACTTACCCATCATATACCTATTTTAGGAGGGAAAGAACAAGTTACCAAATCGACTCCTCAAAACAAAAGCTAAAATGACAGATTTGAAAAGACAAAGTATAGATGCCCTCACTAAAGGGATAAAGTGAGGGAGGAAGGGAGAGGAGAGGGCCGGCCCAGTGGCGCACTGCTACAGTGCACCGCTTGGGAGTGCGGCAACGCTCCCGCCGAGGGTTCGGATCCCACATACAGACCGGTCGCTCACTGGCTGAGCGAGGTGCGGGTGCAACACCGAGGGTTGTGATCCATTGCCGGTCACGAAAAAAGACAAAAAGGGGAAAAAAAAAGAAGGAAGGGAGAGGAGAAAGAAGGTAGGGTTGAGAAAAATGAATAAAAGGAAATGGTTAATCACAAAGCACATTTACTTTTACATTCACCAGTTCTTGCTATTAGAAAACTAAAAATGGGAAGATAAGATAAAATGATTTTAATCTAAAGTTTTGAGAGAAAATAAACAGAATATATGATGGCCAGAAGTCACTGACTTTTAATAAGCTATACTTCAACATAAAATATATATTAAATGGGATGCGGCAATTTAGGGGGAGGGAGATGAAATTCCACAAATACTTCTTGCCTACCTGTTGTATAACAGGTACTGTAAAAGGAGGGACATTTGATTAAAAAAAAATGAAGTCCACAAAATTGCCAACTACTCTATTTAAGGGTTCCTGATTATTACAGTTCAATGTTAAGTTTAAATGAGCCTCAAATATAAATAGGGAATAACACTTATCTTTAAAACACTTGTCCTGCTGTAAGGATGAAATGAGATAAGATACAGAAAACACTTGGACTTGTACCTAGAATATGGTAGGCCCTTAAAATTGGTAGTTATTTTATTATTATTAAATATTTAATGGTATTTAACATTTTTATCACCGCTACTTTCAGGATTAAAATGATAGTTTACACCTGCAGGCCAACACTGAGAATTTTTTTGCACAGGAAGTTATAGTATCAAAGAATTGTTGACTAAATGAAAACAGTCACTGGTTTTATTTTCATTCAGAAAATGAAAGGGCAGATATGAATATATAGAAAATAAGAAAATGCAATTATAGATGCTGTAGCTGTGCAATATTACAAAACTTTAAACATTTAAAAGTGGATATGAAACTAAAATCACTATTTTCTTTTTAACAGTTATGTTTAATAATGTTAATTAATTTTAAACCAAGAATCAGTACCAAAATTTCTGACTATTTACCATTGAACCATGTCTTTCTGATAATGTGTGAACCATTTCTCCAAAATGAGAGGTTACTGAACAGAAAAAATTCATGTTTAACAGTGCTAAAGCAGTTGGCAGGCTGCTGCGGGGGGTGGTGGTGGTAGGAAGCCTAAGACAGCAGGGTGACAGCAAACTGGAGAGCCTCCAAAATCAATAGCAGGAGTCTCAGAGGACAAGTTTTCAATATTTTACTTTTGACTGTGATGCTTGTTATATAGATTCTAAACCTGAAATTAGCAGAGTACATCAGTTTTCTTTGGGTTAGTGTTGCATGTTCACTAATCCAGTTTGCTATAAAACCAATATATTAGTTCCAGGCAGAAAGAATTGACAAGTACAAAGGTCTTGATGTCATGTATGCCTAGTATGCTTGAAAAACAACAGGGAGGCCAGTGTGGCTGGAGCAGACTGAACAAGACCACTGGGTCAATGTCACCACCACCAGATGGGCTTTGGACTCCCCAGCGTCAGCAACTATAAAGAAAGAAACTGAAGCTCCAAGAGTTTAAATGGCTTGCTACAAGTCACACAGCTATTAAAGCAAAGCTAGAATTTGAACTCAGGAGCCCGCTGGTACCAGCCAGCAGAACTGCATGGCTCCACGTGGCCCCCTTACCCTGCCACCTTGGACCCAGGCAGAGGGGGAGCTCCAGACCCCGCCCCGGTGCCCTGAACCAGCATTACACAGGTGAGCCCGCCGGTGCCAATCAGTGGAACCACAACTCCATGCGGCCCATCATCCTGCCTCAGATCCAGCGGGGAGCACCAGCCTACGGTCCTGACTCACCGAGTTTGGCCCAGCAGAACTCCACGAGCCAGGGACTC